TCGAAACCCTACTCAAATACGATTGATACATATTTCCGGTTCCTATGTTCAGGTCACTTCTTCAGGGGATCCGCGCATTAGATAGAGCCGGTAATATTAGGTAATGTACTCTAGCGGTCACTTGTCCGCTCACCTTGTCAGTATTTGATTATATCAAGTGAAAGGAGGATGGTCGTGTGGGAACCATCGCGCAATTATGTCTTAGAAATCATCTGGTACGTTATTTTAACAATTGGGCCACCTATCGTGAATTGTAGAATACATTTGGTCCAAAAGGAGCTTTCTTATCTAGGGAGATGTGCCGTGGACGTGGTACATTCGCAGACGTTTCGCCGGCATCGTCAGTGAGTTTTGCCATTCTTAGCACCATAGAATAACTCGTCAAGAAGACAAGTGAAGCCGATCCTTTGAACAAATGTGTACTAAAAAGTTGTGGTATCTCTACTTCTGCCCTGAGCTATTCATCTCTCCTATAACCTCGTATCACGCCTTCACTATCACGATTTATTTTTTCCCATGTTTTTTTAAAATGTAGTGCGGTATTCCCTTTTGAGCAGCTGTCATGAGAACCCTCCGCACTTCGCGCTGGCCTTCTCACCATTCTTCATCCTTGTGCTGGGAATGTTGACCAGAGTCTGCAATATTGTTAAGCAGTCCTCTTTCCCTAGGTCTTACCACAGTCTCTCTCTTACCTCATAAGATCCGTCTGCCCTCTCTCTGGTTCACATATTTCACTCGACCACTGCCACCCCATCTGTGCCGCTCGAGGCGTTATTCGTCCTCCCCTGCGTCTTGGTGACTAATTCATGGATCAAGCCTCTGAGTAAGTCTCATGGTCAGGTCTTTGCCACATGGACCACGTCTGTTTTAAAACCTACTGTCAGCCCACTAGCTTCCATCGCCGCCGCGTCTATACCGTCTCTATCCCTAATACCAAGTCTATGACTTACCACAAACGTTGTGGTTCAACATTGAACCCAATCAAAGCAAGCAATACCATAACATTTATGGGTTGGCACACAAGAGATTAGGACATGGCAAGTCATAGAATTGGTATTAGGGATAGAGACGGGATAGACGCCGCGGCAATGGGAGCTAGTTGGCTGACATGAGACGTGGTTCATGTGGCAAAGGCCTGACCATGAGACTTATTCAGAGGCTTGATCCTCGAATTGGTCACCCAGACGCAGCGGGGCGAATAACGCCTTGAGTGACACAGATGGGGTGGCAGGGGTCGAGTGAAATATGTGAATCAGGGAGAGGACAGACGGATCTTACGGGGCAAGAGAGAGACTGTGGTAAGACCTAGGGAAGGAGGGCGGCTTAACAATATGGCCGACTCTGATCAACATTTCCAGCACAAGGATGAAGGGGGGTGAGAAGGCCAGCGTGGAGTGCGGAGAGTTTTCATGAAATCCGTTCAAAATGGCACACCGTACCGCATCTAATTAAACAAGTAAAAAATTGTGACAGTGAAGGCGTGATAGGGGAATATAGGAAATGTGAATATGCCAGGGAAAAAGGGGAGATACCATAAATGTTAATCACACGTTTGGTCAAAGGATCAGCTTCACTCGTCTCTTTGACGAGTTGTAATATGGGGCTACGAATGGCGAGACTCACTGACGATGCCGGCGAAACATCTGGGAATGTACCACGTCCACCGTCCTACTCTGGAAATGATGATGCATACAATGGACTACAGACAAGGTTCGTTCCTCTGAGTCTTCCTACCAATATGACCGAGTTGCGAAAACAAGTTCAAACAAGTTCAAAACATTCTAAACTCCGCGGAACAAGGCGAATGGGAGAAAGAGAAGGAAAGAACATGGCCGATTTAAACATAATGTTAGCCAGAAGTTATTTGACCTTGTTTTTGCAACTTGGTCATATTTGCAGGATGACTTTGAGGAACGCACCTTGTCCGGAGTTCATTGTATACATCATCATTTCCAGAGTAGGACCGTGGACGTGGTACATTTCCAGAAGCTTCGCCTGCATCGTAGTCGGCATCTTCAGAGAGTCTTGCCATTCTTAGCACCATACTACAACTCGTCAAGGCGACAAGTGAAGCCGATCCTTTCACCAAATGTGTGCTAAGCATATGTGGTATCTCTCCTTCTGCCCTAAGCTATTCACCTCCCCTATATCCTCGTATCACGCCTTCACTATCACTATTTATTTTTTCTTCCTTGCTTATTTAACTGTAGCGTGGTGCCCTTTTAAGAGGCTTTGATGAAAACGCTCCACACTCCACGCTGATCAAAGTTTGCCATATTGTTACGCAGTCTTCCTTCCCTAGGTCTTATCACAGTCTCCCTCTTGCCCCGAAGGATCCGTCTGATATCTCTCTGGTTCAAGTATTTCACTCGACCCCTGCTACCCCATCTGTACTACTTGAGGCGTTATTTACCACACTCTGCCTCTGGGAGACCAACTTGAGGCTAAAGC